AGCGAAGACAGGAAGAGAACTTTTGGAGACTACTTTTTTATGGGGTATGAACTGGATGAGGAAAAGTTATGGGGTGATAATCGTGAAAATAATAAAACATGAGGACGGTTTTGTATAATAAATAATGACACAATTGTAAAAATTGCTAATTTTGGTGTGTCCGCTTTTCGAAAATGTTTATTTATTTGAAAAATATCACTAATTATGAATTTTTAAAACCTAAATTTTAAAATTCTAAACTTAAAAAATGTTTTAATCCCTAATAAATCCTAAACCCTTAAAACTAAACACCAATACAATATAATTAACCCAAACATAAATAATATAATGAATAAAAAAATTTGAAAAATAGCATTTTTATAAAGATTTTAAAAATATGGCATTTTTAAAAAGTGACACTTCAAAAGTGGTATTTCTCAAAATTTCTCTTAAATAATAGCATTTTCCTTTTAACAGTAAAGAAATTTAAGCTTTCAGATTAAATATTATTTTTAATACTATCTAAATTATGAAAATGCTCACATTGATATTTTGTCAATTGTGTATTAGTTTAAATTTTAATATATAAAATATGAATCACCCAAACACAATAGTTTAAAGAATACTTATTTTTTAATTAATATATATTACTCATAATTGTATCATAAGTATAAACTAGATAATTATCTGCGTTATACGCGGGATAATACGATTAGCAAGTAAAATTAATATAGTTTTGGTTATAAAAAATTATCTATAATTATCAGTAAAATTATTATACGGAATCCAAAACTCGTTTATATATATATAATATGCAATTATTTTGTATAGAAATGTGTTTTAACCCGTGAAATAATTGACAACAACAATTTTTTAATTTCTTAGTCAATATATTATTACTTGTTAATAAAATATATATAAATTGAATCTTATAGGTTTATGGTAATTATAAGAGTAATAATATTTATAATATAAATTAGGATTTAATTAAAAGAAATTTCAAAAAATGCCACTTTGCGAGTGCCACTTTTCAAAAATATCATCTTTTCAAAATATTTACAAAAATGCCACTTTTTCAAAATTATTTTTCTATTATAAAATTTATGTTTGGGTTAATTATGTTGTATTAAGGTTTAGTTTTGAGTGTTTAGGAAGTTTTAGGGGTCAAAACATTTTTTTGGGTTTAGAATTTTAAGATATAGGCTTTATAAATATATAATTAGTGACATTTTTGCAAATGGACATCCCTAAGTGGTATTCTTGCAAATGTGCACAAAAATAACATTTTTGCAATTGCCCATTTAATTAAACTAAGTTAATATTTTAAAGTTTTTTTTTTTAAAATAGAGATTCATTTTTATTTTATTTTAATGGTAAAATTAATATTATAATATTTGAATAATTGTTTTAGGCAATTTTGTAAGTATTTTAATGTGATTGGCAATTGTAATAAGTGTATCCAAGTTAGTATTATGTAATTTTAGAGGATGTTTGGACAATGGTATAAGAGCATTTAATTTTAAGTAAATTTTAAGTAAATTTTATTAATATAAAAAATGAGGAAATAGTAGGTTTGATACCTAAACAAATTTGTTCCAAAATGATTACAAATTATAACCATAATTTGGACTTTATGTTAAGCTTTTACAAATTCTTGATATCAAGGAGTTATTTTCTCTTTACTTTGTAAACAATCGTTTGTTATTTGGGAAT